GAAACTTGGTATGAGTGTTCGTATTCACCCAAGGATAAACCCTATAGAAAAATCAGGGAAATCAAAAAATATGTAGTATGAATTATTTCCCTTGTTCTTGAAAACGCGTTCAATTTTTAGCTCGTAAACACTCTAGGAGGCACAATTCTTGACAGACTCTACAAGTCACAATTTTTTTGTTCATAATCACAATTTACAATAGATGTCATTATTTTCCTGAGAAACTATTTTGGTAAACAAATAAGAAAATTTATTTTAATCATTTAACATGTCCCTAACCAGCCACCATACATGTACAGCATCATAAGATACTATAAATAGACCAAGTGGAAAATCCAAGACAGATATCCAATCATAGCTTAGTCATGTGACATCCCAAGATGCAGCAGTTTATCTGATTTCATTTTATAAATGTCATTCAAGAGAAAAGGTTTGCTTAATCATTTCATTTTCACCTATTGTGCTGATACAAAAATGAAATTAAACATGGGTCATAGGGGAAAGTTTCTTGGAAGATTGAATTGAGTTGCTGGATAAGTAGGCTACTACAGGAAAAATATTTAGTATGAATTATTGCCCTTGTTCTTGCAAACCGTTCAATTTTTAGCTCGTAAACACTCTAGAAGGCACAATTCTTGACAGATTTTGACGAAACTTGGTATGAGTGTTCGTATTCACCCAAGGATAAACCCTATAGAAAAATCAGAGAAATCGAAAAATATGTAATATGAATTATTGCCTATATTTTTGAATATAATCTGCAAATACACAATTCATGACAGACTTATTGAAATCACCCAAGGATAAATCTGATCAAAAATCTTGTACAACACGTAATTTTTATTCTACAAAGCAGAAGTCTAAAACAAATTTGACAACTTGATGAAATTGATCACAATTAAAACTAAACCTTTTGAAATATAAAATACAAGTTATTGCCGTTATTCTTACAAATGTGTTTGATTTTTAACTTGTGATGGCACAGTTTGTGATGGATTTGGGTATAAGTTGAATATTTCCTGGTGTCTATGTTTGCTATTTTCTAACAAATATTCAATTTCAAACAAAGCTATCAGTGGGCGTATATTACCTTGCCTGGCAAGCTATCTTTATGTAATTTAGGGGTGACTGAGCTATGCCAAGAAAAAATGTGTCAAAATGTCAAAATTTTGGGAAATCATATCTCTATGATCTCGATGAAATTTGGAATTTGAACTTTTCCCATCATATCCAAGATTTCTGCTAAGTATCAATAAAATTGGTGATGGTCTGGTTAACCCGGTTGGAACCCTGAACAAATTTTGTTTCAATTCCTTTAAACACAGTGAAATCTGAGAATGATACAAGAAGTCTAGTTAAAGAGTGTTTATTTTCATCTATATGGTCATATTTTAAACCAAATTAGTAACTCTATTTATTTGGCTGTACTGATTATGACTGGGTTGATCAGGAAACATATATTATATCATAGAAAGTCGAATCATTTCGCATTACCTGGAATTTTTTTACTTTGATAATTTTTATAAAACTTAACTGGCAGCATTCAGTATTATTTTTGGTTCATTTAAACTTTATTCAATTTTCATTATTTTGGAACATTAATACCCTTTTTCAATCAAAGTAGCTGTGAAACATATTGTATCCAAATTATTATTATTTTGGAACAAAATACCTTATATCTTTCTATAGCACCATCACAACATTACTGATTTGCCCAACATCCGGTGCATGGCACCACCTTCACAACATTACTGATTTGTCCATCTGATGTATAGCCTCAGCTTCACAACATTACTGATTTGTCCATCTGATGTATAGCTTCACCTTTACAATATTACTGATTTTTTCATCTGATGTATAGCCTCAGCTTCACACTATTACTGATTTGTCCATCTGATGTATAGCTTCACCTTCACTACATTACTGATTTGCCCAACATCAAGAGTATAGCATCATCTTCACCGCACTACTGACTACGCCCAACATCTGGTTATAGCACCACTTTCATTACACTACACTTGATATCTATTACTACTTTTGCTACATTACTGATTTTGCGCAACATCCAGTTTCAAGAACTTGATAAGAATGATTAGAATGTAAATAATATATAGGTGGTATAGGAGTATATTATAAATTCATTGATTATATTGTTATGTTTCTGTGGTTTTAATTTATCTGTGTGTTTTATATATCTAATGTTGTTTTGTAAATAATTCATTGCAAATAAAGTGATATCTTGTATTTGTAGTTATAGTTGGCATCTCTTAGGTTAGAAGTGTTTTGCCCAAAATTTACTTTGCTGAAAGGATGACGGCCCAGAAATTTCAATTTCATAAATAATAAAAATTTAAAAAATACATTGTATTTAATGAAAAAAAATTATGAGTTGATTTTGCTGTATTTCATTTAAAGGACAGGTTTCTCTGACCCTAGACATAGAAGACACAATTAGATATAATTGTCAAATGTAGCTAATGTAGTCTTTGATGACGTCACTAATTGCAAAAGTCCTTATGTGATAAAGCAAACTTCATTATTAGTGACGTCATCAGTGGAATTACAGGAACTATAGACGTCTGATTGAATTGTTGCAAATTGATGCTATCAGTATCCTTACACACATGAGAAATTTAGAAAACCTCTTTACAATCCCTTTAAACTGCAAACAATTTTTATCTGGTATAATTGCAGACAGTTCTTATAATTCACTTAATCCACAAAACTGTATAAGCTTAGGCTACATTTATCTTTTGGAAATTGCTGAACAACTACCCTAGCTTATTAACTTAAAAAACGTAGGTTTGTTCATAATCTAAACTTGATCCGCAATTCTTACCTAAATCACAACCAGGCAAGTATTCATTACAATATTTAGGGAAACAAAGGCTTCAAATAACTAAAAGTTCAATTAATGTGCGCAAGGTTAACAGTTTAGAACTTTGAACATTGTCACTAGGAGCTAATTAACAAAAAAATAGGCATAGCCTACATTTCTTACAACTTTTTAAGTAGCAATGATGAACGTGTCAGTAGGAATTTTAGGAAAGTGGCTTATGCAACTTTCCACCCTTCTACATTTCCTCAGATCTTTACATTATGAAGGTTAACTTACACAATGGTGAACATGGCTTTAATATAGATCCTTAGCAATTTAAAGAAGATGTTGCATTAGCAGCTTTATAATTTGTCAATATACACAGGCTGCTATACAGTCATACTTAACATGCCTTCGCCATAGACTGATCATTTTGGCCTTGGGATAATATAGCAAATTCTTTTCAATGACCATATTCTTAATTATGGTATTCATTTCCATAACATTTTGATAGTGTTACCATACGTCAATAGGACAGACTTATTCCTTCAGACAGTATTATTATTTCAGCATAGGACTTTTTGTCGTCTGCTACTGGATTGTACTAACTTGAAAATGAGCGCGATTGACCGATGTGCCCTTCACCATGTAGAAATGAGAGTTGAAAATGGAATTAAAGTTGTTGAAGATTTTGTGTTAAAGTATGGATTTACTATCGTAGGTGAAAGAATACACCCATTATTCCACCAGTGGATGTTAGAAGTAGGAATGTGCCGATTTTTAATAACTGAAGTTTCAAACGAGGTTTCTCGAGAGTCCACGCGCTTAGCAGATGATGTTTTCATTTCACCTCTTGACGGATCGAGTGTGGATTGTAGAACTACTTGTTTCAAGAGATCTTTTGATATAGTGAACGACGTAGCTTTAGAAGTAAAGGATGTTGAAACACATGTTCGAAAACTGTCTAAAAATAATGTCGTGGTTCTGAAACCTTTAAGGAAAATTGCAGACAAAAATGGAGAAATCCTTATTGTGACTGTAAAATCTTGTTTGGACAACATCATACATACTTTAATACAAATAATCCACTTAAAGGGGAAGCTACTTCCAGGTTTTAGTTCTCCATCAAGTTGCAGTGAAGCTTTGAATAGGAGGAGACAACGTGGGACCAATATGTCACACGTTGATCATGTAACATTTGTCTGCGAAAGTGGTAAATCCCCATGGGTTATATCATGGTATGAGAAATGTTTTGGAATGAAGAAATTTTCTTTAAACAGGTAGGCTAAAGTGTCCAAAGGCTGTTGAGATCTATCATGCAAAAGCTATAGAAAAAAAATATAAATATAACTTATTGCCCTTGTTCTTGAGAACTGATTCAATTTTTAGCTCGTAAACGCTCAAGAAGGTTCAATTATTGACAGATTTTGACGAAACTTGGTATGAGTGTTTGTTATCACCCAAGGATGAACCCTATTGAAAATCAGAAAAATTGAAAAATATTTAGTATGAGTTATTGCCCTTGTAATTGTTCAATTTTTACCTCGTAAACACTCCAGAAGGCACAATTCTTGGCGGATTTAGATGAAACTTGGTATGAGTGTTAGTAATCACCCAAGGATGAACCCTATTGAAAACCAGAAGAGACGAAAAATAATTAGTATGAGTTATTGCCCTTGTTCTTGAAAATGCCTTCAACTTTAAGCACTTAACACTCTAGAAGGATTTTGACGAAACTTGGTGTGAGTGTATGTAATCACCCAAGGATGAACCCTATCAAAAATCAGAAGAAAATAAAATTATTTAGTAAGAGTTTTTGCCCTTGTTCTTGAAAACGCGTTCAATTCTTAGCTCGTAAACACCCAAGAAGGCCAAATTCTTGACAGAAGCTGCTTAAACACTCCGTTTTTATACGCCTACATCTGTATGTGGACGTATATTGTCGGCACCCTGTCCGTCCGTCGGTCCGTCCGTCCGTCAACATTTGCTTGTAAACGCTCTAAAAACTAGTTTTTTGGATGGAATCAAATGAAATTCGGTATGTGTATACATATTCATAAAACGAAGGTCGAGTTCGAATTTGAGCTATTTTCGACCGCTAGAAGCAGAGTTATTACCCTTGCCCCAAAATCTTGAATATACTGTTACTCTCTTAGCTTTCAACCGATTTTGATGAAACTTAAAATGGATGTTTCGTTTTTACCATCCGCATGCTGTGGTGGCTGTTCCACTATCTTTGTTAACCCTTTTAAAACAAAGTTATCAAGATACATTAGTTACACTATGTAAATAGCACTTTTTAGGTATTACAGGACTACGCATTTTTTATAAGGAAACTTTTGCATAACCTACTTCCCCTTTTAAAGATATCGTAAAATATTTCTTATATTGGTGTTATATTTTCTTTTCTTTTCTTTCCAATGCTTTAGACATTCTGATGATGGCAGTTTGGTTGTAAATGGGAATAATTCTGGGTTAAGATTATCGGCTTTTGATTACTGGAAATGTTCGGAGACTGGACTGTTTCATCCCGAAGATAACAAGTTTACTTTTGTGTTAGCCGAACCCATTGGACGAGGTAAGCTGTATATATTGGTTCCCAATGATTTTCACTCGTCCTATTAAGCTAATGGAATAAACATGATATGCGAAAGAAGTCAGCTAGATAGTCAGTAAATCATACATTCAAGCTGAAGATTTCAATCAAATAATTAATATGAAATTAAGTTTGACGAAGAAAAGGTCAGTACCAAGAAGTTATACCACATGTCGGTTGGTAGACAGGATCCTCAAAAACCTAAGTTCTTGTTCACTTCTGTACGTCTCGTCATTATTTTACAGATTAACTCGGATATCTGGAAATGTAGTTATTCTCGTGATTACAACACCAGGTCAATGTGGCGCTCATGTTGCGCCATTAATCCAAATCTTGATATATCTGAATTCTGCAGTGTACAGTTATTAACAATTGTTTTTATACGCCCACATTATAATGTGGACGTATATTGTCGTCACCCATGTCCGTCCGTCCGTTGGTACGTCTGTCCACAATTGGCTTGTGAACGCGATAGAGACTACAGTTTTCATCTGATTCGAATGAAATTTGGTGTGATCATTTATATTGATGAGATCTTGGACAAGTTCGATATTCACAATTTTTCGATGAGTTATTGCCCTTGACTTAGCCTAAACGAATTGAAATTGGCTTGTGAACGCAATAGAGACAACAGTTTTTATTTGATTTGAATGAAATTTGGTGTGATCATTTATATTCATGAGATCTTGGACAAGTTCGAATTTGACGATCTTTCGATGAACGGTTTTTGAGTTATTGCTCTTGACTTTTGAGTTATTGCCCCTGACTTATGAAAAACGCGTCAAAATTTGGTTGTGAACACAATAGAGACTACAGTTTTAATCCAATTTCAATGATTTTTGGTGTGAATATTTATAATTATGAGATCTTGGACAAGTTCTAATTTGGCTATCTTTCGATGAACGGTTTTTGAATTATTGCACATGACTTATGAAAAACGCGTCAAAATTTGTTTGTAAACACAATAAGGACTACAGTTTTCATCCCATTTAAATGAAATTTGGTATGATCATTTATAATGAGGAGATCTTATTCAAGATTAAATTTGACAATTTTTCGATCAACGGAATTTGAGTTATTACCCATGACTTAGTAAAAACGCATCAAAATTTCTTAGCGATAGAGGTTACAGTTTATGTCAGAATTTTATTAAATAATGTGTTTGTTTAAATCAACAATAGCTTGCACAAATTAGATTCCTGCTAGACAACCACTTGTTTTTTCTGAAATGCTATTGAATGTTCTTGTGTTAATAATATGTTCCATATTTTTCCTAAGTTGATTGTTTGGATATCAGAATGTTTGTATAAAATATTCATTTACAGGCCAAAGTCATGTGAAGACGTTTCTGTCAAAGCATGAAGGTGCTGGAGTACAACACGTTGGCTTACATACATCAAATATGGTAACAACTTTACAGATATTGAAAAATAATGGAGTGCAATTTGTTGAACCACCATTTACTTATTATGAAGAGGTAGGGCTCTGTCGATTCCTGATGAAATTCCCTGGAGTCAAACTTACCTAACTATGTAGTTTCTGAGACTTTGGTTTATTATTTTTTATGATTAATGGTGGACCAACTTATCGGCCTGTTAATTCTCTAACGATAAAGGGATAAATATTTAAAGTTTAATACTAAATTTATTTGAGACAAAAGCTGAAAGTTAATGTTTTTATACCTGATTCAAAGATTTAAAACGTCTCAAAGTAATTTTATCTTTACTTTTCAGGAATATTTTCTTAAAAAGGTAATTTTAATATTTTATATATTTCTTACTATCGGAACAGCGCTTATGAATTATTGTGTTTTTTTATGCAAAATTTGTTGTCAATTGCCAATTTCAAATAGCTGTGTACTTGTGTCAATTGTCGTTGCCACCGTTTGCTGTTGATCCAATAAAGGAAAAAGAAAATAAATGTATACATATAATACCTATATAATAATATTATATAAATAAATGCAACAGGTAGATGAACTGGGCGATTGTTTAGAAGAAAATGTTGAGGATATAATATCCCAAGGTATTTTACTGGACTCTGAAAATACATTAAACATAACGACTGGTGAACAGCAGACAGAAGAAAGGTAAGAATATTCTGTAAGTAGTGGTTGGACTTTTGTTATGCTCATGTAATGTTCAAAAGGACTAAGACCTTTGATAAGATTTCATATTTATTATTTTAGATACTTAATGCAGAAATTCACTAAACCTATTTTCAAAGAGGAGACATTTTTCTTGGAGATAATACAGAGACATGGTGCTACTGGATTTGGTTTTGGTAATGTTATGGCTCTGTGCAGAGCAGTAGAAAAACTCAAATGTACCAAGGCATCAGGCTGACGGGATAGCTTCTACGTTGTGAAACTTTCCTAAAATCTCGAAACACGTGGAACTGGTTTGTATTTGTGTCTATTTTGTTATTAATTAATATTAGCTAGCCTGTAATGCAATGTTTGAGATAGAGTGTGGATAATTCGATTAGTTTTGTTGTTAATCTACAAACCTGTCAGTTTTCTTAACCAGAATGTCACCAAAATCACAGGTATGTGAAGTTTTATTGATATAATATGCCGATATAGAGCGAGATAGATTAGTCTTGAGCGAATTAGCGCTATATCGACACTGCGTAGTTATATAAATGAAATTTCGGATACATGTGCCGAAATACTAACACTATAGCCGTAAATTGAGCTAACGGCATAAGTGATGATCCAGGTGTTTATCACTATTATCCTTCTCCTAAGAGGATGCTACAAATATAACATCTATCACAGCTGTGTATTCCGAGCGTTCCTGCATCCCTTTGTTGACTTTAGAGGGCCTTTGCCATGGTGTAGGATCGGGATAGCCTCTTCCAGGAAAATTTTCTGATCTGGCCCTGTCCACAATTGTTGTGGACACTATAGAGAGCTGGTTTCTTAATGGATTTTGACGAAACTGAGTGTGTGAGTGTTCGTAAGGACCCAAGGATGAACCCTATTGAAAATCACACGATTCAAAAAATTTGATGAGTTATTGCCCTTGTTTTTGAAAAATTATTGTGGACACGATAGAGAGCTGGTTTCTTGATGGATTTTGATAAAATTTGGTATGAATGTTTGATATCATGCACTTAAAGTGATACTACGTCTTAAAATGAACATAAAATTTAATTCTCAAGAATGGTCAATATTCATCAGTGAACTTACTTGGTGTCATAAAGTTACAAAAGAATTCCTGTAAAATCTAGAAAATTCATATAACTAAGTAATTATTGAAAAACGCTTAATCATAATATTAAGCGTTTTTCAATAGTTAATTGCATATTTATTAAATTTTTTGGATTTATCGGATTATATAAGGATCCTATTATGTTAATAATGACACCAGTTATATCGACTGATGAATATATGCTCTTATTGGCCAAGTTTAAAATTCTTAAATTTTATGTTTATTCTAAGACTTAGTATCCCTTTAAGGATGAACTCTATTGAAAATCAGACAAAACGAAATATATTTGATATAAGTTATTGCCCTTGTTCTTGAAAATTTTTAGCTTGTGAAAGATAAAGAAGTCACAATTTGTGACGGATTTTGACGAAATGTGGCGAAATTGTTTATTATTTCCCGATGATGTATCTTATCGATATTAAAAAAAATCTAAAAAGTATTTAATATGAGTTATTGCCCTTGTTCTTGAAATCACATTCAAGGCACAATTCTCAACAGATTTGAAAGAAACTTGGTTGAATCACTCGCGGAATCTTATTGAAAAGCAGAAAATCGAAAAAATATTTGATATGGGTTATTTCCCTTGCTCTTAAAATTCCAGAAGACAAATTTCTGGACTGATTTAGACGAGACTTGTTTAAAATCAAAAAAAAAAAGCTTGTGAAATATTTCATTTATTTATAATTCTTGTCAACATTCAGCCTCACACCGATATAATACACTACAAAACAGTTAGTAACAACGTAATTATAATCAAGAACAATAATGAATAGGCGTAAACCCCTCCTTCGTCCATTCATTCTTTTCAATGGTCTGTCATGAAATTTCATACTCTACAAATGTAGTTAATTGGTCTGGCGGTTGATGAATAAATATATTTGAGGAGTTAATAGAAACCGCAGTCATTTGTTAACATCAATTAAAGTCAGATAGGTTACTGTTAACATCGCTGCTGGAACGCCAGTAATGTTAATGCACATATTTGCTCTTTTGTTTTGTACAAAGCACAACAAAAGTCTTTTCACAAATAAATACAATATTGGGTGTTTAGAGCCAATCACCAATATTTACTAATTCGCGTGGCGATTCATCTGCCATTTTATTGACGTATGACTACTTCTGAATATAACATCCAATGACAATTTAGTCATACTTCAACGTACGTGACAGATTGAAAAGACCAAAATGTGAAACATTGAAAGCATAACGACTAATCCAACGTAATACGAGTAGATGAGTCAATAAATATGAAGTTAGCGCCCAAGTGATCAGTAATTATGGAAAGAAATGGCGGTCTCAAATAGCCTATCCGATTTCAATGTCACTTTTCCCGCCATTTCTATCTCAGAACGACGTCTGCCTTAAGTGGATAGAGACCAATATGAGATGATTTAAATTTTTTGATAGTGGTATGAACATAAGGGTACCATCAATATTGTGATCTGCCAAACTTCAATTAAGATCATTTCACCCACCTTTCGCATTTCTCAAATATTTCTGAAATTAATGGATATAGTTGGCGCCTCGTAGATGATACAGACGATTAATAGAATGACTATTCAGATTCTATATAGGGGACGTTTCAGACAATTATACTTAGCATATAAAGGACAAGTTTAAATATTTTAAAGGTGAAGTAATGGGAAGAACAGTTTACTCTTAATAGGCGTTAAAAGAAAAATTGGAGGAACATTGAATCATTAACCATTCGAGAGATCATTTAAGAAGTTTATTAAATGGTAAATAATGGAAGATATAGCGACTTTGGGGCGACACCAAACCCTCGACCTGGGCAGTAAATATCTTGACCTGTCTCTCTAGATTCTCCACTCTCGACCACATTATAATAGTAATAACTGAGATATTAGTAATAAAATTCAAGTATAGTATAGAAGATATGTACCTGTGTATATTGTTAGCTGTAGATACTAATTCAAGATTGATATATGTATATTGATACACTTTGCCCACCAAACACACCTTTTCTGACAAAATACACAAAAACAGAGGAATTACTAAGGTATATGTACGTTGGCCTACCTGCAATGCGTTTTATAACAGTAAATTGGTTTTGGAAATTAATTCCTGTTAAATATTAGTGTGAGTGTAAACACCATAGGATGAACCTTATTGAAAATTATTTGATATGAGCTATCCAGTTTTTGAAAACGTGTTAAATTGATAGAAGTTATAGTTATAGTCTAGAAGTCACAATTATTGAGAGATTTGCACAAAACGTAGTGAAATTGTTTATTATACCAAAGGATAAACCCAAATGAAAATGAAAACTATCGAAAAATATATGTGTTATTGCTCTACTTTTGAAAACGCTTTCAATTTTCAACTTCTTCATTCTAGAAGGCACATTCTCTACAATTTTAAAGTAACTTTGTGAAATAGTATATAATCACACAAGGATAAATATTTAATACTTCCCGACCAAGATCAAATAATGCGACATATATAATATTGCACTTTTAGCCTATATAAAACAAATACCTACATCTTAAATGTATTATTTGCTAATAGCTCAAGTCAACCTCCTGGACAACTTGGCTACCATCGCTATTTTTCTTGTTATTACCCCTTTCAGGGTCGATTGCATTATACACTTCTCCATATACATTCTTACTATTTCGTGATTTTATCTTTAGTTTTCTCTGTAGTATTTTTCATGTCAGAGAATATAGCCTGGCTGAATAGAACGACTAAAATTATAATTGTCAAAACTTTATATGCTGGACTACAAAGCATCCCATTACAATCCTAAAATTTCAAAATTACCCCTTGATCAGTGATGAAGGCAAATTTACAGCGAAGATATCTTACTTTAGTCGTGTATGGAAATTATTACAAGAAGTACGGTATATCATTCTATACCTGTCTACTATTTTGAGTACCATTGACAACAAAAGTTAATGTAAGAAGTTCTTATCGCTTAATTTGATTTATTTGTATTTAAGTAGTGTTTACCTATACGTATATTGGTAAGCATTTCAAGAGCTTTACCGTCTTATGAATTGATGACAAAATATTGACATTCGTAAATTTAGATTATATCGATTGGATCTCGGAATATACGATTTTGTTTCACACAGCAAATAAACATCACACACATCATTTCATATATGCTGTGAATTGCCCGAACAGGTAGTCTAATCTGTATGAAACACAGTCCTCGTTTCCATTTATCTATGTCACAAAAAATAATACCGTTATTGACTTTGTCGGTGATCATAGGTCTAAATGAATGGAACGATTACGTATCTCTTCTGGTGAGAGAATCTATTCTTTTAACCACTGGACTGTCACGTGATTGCAACTTTGCAAATTGAACAAAGATATATTCTCAAGCTTTAGTGTCAAAATTGGGAGATAACTCGGACTCTTATTTAAAGATGAGTTCCCCTATTTTCATTTATGAAAATGAAAATGCTAATACTTATTTAAATAGAAAGTAGAGTTGTTCTTATGACTTGTAAAAATACCAGTTTGTCTCACATGTCCATAATTAATTCATAATAATGAGCTAATTAAGAAAAGAATTACCAGCAGAATTCCACTGAATGACCGATCAAGAAAGGTCAAAAAGTTCATCCAGACTGTAAATACACAATTATGATTGGTTAAAAGTCTTAATTATATGTAATAAGAACATAATGATTTGATTAAGAATACATGATAATTCATTAGAAAAACCAATTAAGCAAATATTTTGCTTAATTTGACACTAAAAAAATAAGGAAACCCATCTTTAAGCACTCTATATTAGTTTATGTTGTCATTTAACTAAGATTTTACCAAATTGCCAACACAAGTGCCTTGATATGTAACATAGCACAAGCGAAACTTTTACGACGGATAGTTTGTCAAAGAAAGTGTCAATTCAACAGTGTTCCTCCGTATATTTACACAGTATTTTTAAGAACCAATTTATTCACTTACAAGAATTATAGGGAAGATTTAATAACTCGATGGTTTGTACTTTATTGGTCACCTTGCTCATCGGATCATTTTCACAGTTGAACGAAAAGACGGAAATATAAAAATTCCCACTAGCCTGAAAAAAAAAGTACACGATTGTCAGTGGGAACTCTCTTATACCCTTTTGTACCGTGTTTTAAAAAAAATTATGTGCCAAAATTCAGTGATTTAAAATTCTTCGTATGTAGATGGTCATAAACATAAACTTTTTAATAGAAAGTTAGGCGTTGTCCAAATTATACCGTTCTAATTTATGATATATATTATAGAAATATAAAGTTATTGAAAGTGATATATTATGTATTTATGATGAAGATTTTATGATTAATAATAAAGGTATAATGATATCATACTTGACCCTTTCAATTACAATATTACCTAAAATAATATCGTGTCATAGCCAAAATAAAACTTCTCAACTAATACTTCAGATAATGTGAGAAACCACCTCAATACTTCTCGAAACAAACCACCTTACTTTATTACCATTTAATAACTCTACCAGCTTTATGTTCGCTTCATATAGCTTCTAATCTTGTCCTTGGCGAATCACTGTCGCCCCCAAGAACTCTTTATAATCATAAATTTGTCAAATTATTATTGAAAGAGACGATTATTAACCTTATTTAATAATAAATATAACAATTATAAATACTATTATATTACAATCTATCAATATCTTCTGCATAGAGTAGTGGAATTGTTTTTTGTTTTGTTTCCAGAACCTCAATCACAAAGGAGCGGGCGCCAAAGAGACTATTCGCCCACACAAGCAGAAAATTACAGGGCAGCTAAACATTTTGACCAAAGGGTCAATGACAATAATTTGAAAAATCACAAAATTTCTTGCGTACCCAAAAAAAATTTCCTTCTCAATTAACTTCTGAATTCTATCATTTCAACATTTCACAATGCTTAAATTTCTCTTTTCATCATAATGATGATATGTATTGTATATGACTTTTAGTATCTCGAATTCCTTTTTTCTCTGCTTCAAATGTGTTTTCTGTTTCTGTAAGAGTTGGGTTTGCTAGGATTTTCGGTTTTTCTACTATCACGGCGTCTTTGTATGCTTTAGTAGATGCCAGTAGTTGTATATTGGAATATTTGTACCAGGCGTATCTTGTATTATGCACTTTCGCCCTTTTAGTGACTATGCAAGGTATATATTACAAACAGTTCTCGGAGGTACTGTGTTCTCAATCCATGAACAATTGAAATTCGGACCAATACGTTCAAGGCAATACCAAGACTAATTAGCTTATTAATCCAGTAAGGGTGAAAAAATACGGTGTGTTTTACCAATAAGGGTATATTATTTTAGAGTTAAGAGAGATAAGGCAGAGTTTGTATATTTAATAGTAAGCTGATCAATATTGAACGAGATCATGAATATTATTATCTGAATAACTTTTCATTGTATTTGAACGATACTTGATTCAAGTACCTGCATATTAGATAGATAAATGACCAAGATATACCTCTATTATAGATATATTACTGACTTTTCAGATAAATAAATAAATAAACCTAATGGATTTCTAGTACCTCTATAATCATAATAATATGTACTGCTTGGAAACACAAACCTTGCAAGTAAAGCGTAAACAGATAGGTATTTCAAATTTTTATCCGAATGATACAGTGACTAAACGAGCAACTCTTTTAAACGGATGAAAGTTTTGAAGCTTGCATATGTTGTTCTATTCCCGTCATGATTTGAACACCCAATTCAGAATTCGGAATTCGAGTGTATTATAACATAATCACGAAAACCGATGGCCAGCATCCTATCAAACTAAACTCGTTTGTACTTTAAAATGTCAAACTAATACGAACTCTTCTACTTTGATTGCAATAGCCTCCTTGTTTACGGCCTTTTGGTCGAGGGCTTCGATTGTTTGTATTTGCTAACATACAATCCAACCAAATCGCAGCATTTGCAAACTTTCGTTATACAAGAAAGGTGGCTATTGCAGTCAAGGTATAAGACGCAGTTTTGAAAAGATTGATATTGTGAAGCGAACAAAGAAATAAACAAAGTATAAGAAATCAGTAGAGTGAACTCAAGATTGTACCTCTCGATTTCAGCTTGACCCTTCCCTTATATATATATACATGTACTTCTAATCTTCGTGTGGAACAATAAAAGAATCATGAAACACTACAGTCGGAAAAAATAAATTACAGGCACTTTTTCTGACCAAAAGGAGGTTAATATGAAATGCCCCCTTCAGCAGACAGCTCTATTAAGTGTATGTACAACAGGTATGGTATGGTATGCTAATAACATACACTCAAGTTAATTATTAGGTAAAAAGAGAACGACATAGATATGTTTTCACTGTGGAGAAATGTGTTGAATCGGATTAGAAGGGATTTCATTTTCATTTAATAAAAACTTTAACATGACATATCAATCTCGTTTACATTAATAACATTTTAATATTCGGTTTGAAGAGGGTTAATTTTCAATTTATTTCATACGTTTAAAATTCTTAAACAAACTATTATTTAATCATTATGTTATAAACACAGGTCTGCATGGCGCCTTGGTCTTATAAAATTTTATAAATTAGTATTTAAGGACATTTAAACTTATGTAGTTTTAAATCTATGTATTTTATCACCAATGTTAGGACAAACGAACAATTTAGTGCAGAATGAAATAGGAGTGAATGCATAATTTACAGGGATGTGTTGTATGTCAATACTTGATTTTGAATTTTTTGTTTTTTTAATTATGATATAAAGTTAACTTATGTCATTGAACTTTATAGATTTAGAATTGCGCTTTAGGCACAATAAAATTGTTGATTATGTAAAGTATATATATATACAAAATAATTCAATAGTATGTATACATGTGTATTCAATTGACCAAGAATATTCGAGGTTCAGTTTTAAAACAACAGTACATAGGTTACCACTTGTAAACTAGATTGACGCCAATTCTGTTTGAAAGGAAATTGTTTGATTGCTAATAGAATTGTTACAGGCCATAGAGTCATAAACAAAGCTCTCATTTCATAAATTATGATTTTATCAAGTATTATGATAAGAGCACATGGTTTGTTATATACGCGATATTCGGAAAGTATCTTAATTATTATCCTAAATATCAAAAAGTGTATTTGTATATTTCAAGTTGAACTTCACGCTTTGTTTCCTGAGTTGACTTCCATCTATATTACTACAATCAAGTGTCTATTGTTTGTAATTTGATATTTTTAACTAAAAGCGACCTGCTCGTCCCTCCACTAAACAAGAGCTGATTTCCGTATATGAAAAGTCATACAGTGTAATTAATATCAATTGAGTTTATAATAAAGGATATTGTGGAAGGAATAAATATTCATTCACTTCCATGTTTATATTTCAAGTATAAATCAACGCTAAATAAAACTCAGTGATTGACAAACATAAAGAACTATATTTAGCACGAATGAGACAAGCTTTCTTTTCATTGTGAATGAATGACTTTAGTCATCGTAACAAATTTACAAAGACAACAATATACCCCTCTTAAAGATTGGTTCCCTTATTTTCATTTAGGAAAATGAAAATGCTAATACTTATATGAATAGAAAGTAGAGGTGTTCTAATAACTTGGAAAAATACCAGTTTGTCTCGCATGTCCATAACCAATTCATAATTAGCTAAATTAGAGGAGCTGCAATGAGTGACCGATCAAGAAAGGTCAAAAAAATTTTTTTTTATCTTGACTGTACATGCATGAACATTTATGGTTGCTTAAAACTCTTATTTATATTCAATAAGAACATATTGATATGATTAAGAATCCGTGATAATTGAATAGAAACACCAAAAAATTTGACACAAAAAGACTCAGAAGCAATAACTTAAACTTCCGGTTGGTGCGGATGAGTTGTTGGTATGTCAACGCTAATATCTTAAAGCAATTCGTTACTTTTGAGTTAGATGAAAAGGTCTACTTTTCATTTGCTAAGCAAATATCAAGTTCTCTCAACTCAGAAAGTAAGTACATGTACATGTAGTCGGGTGACTTTATTTCTTCAACAAATACACTTACAATTGTGAAAATTGTGGAGTAATCGAACCGAGTGAGAGAATACCATCAACGCGGCCTGGTACTAGTCATCCTATCGGTAGACTACAACACTTGATAGCAAACTTTCTGTCTCAATATTGCAAGTCAACATAAATATTTTATCTGGATTCTAAAATCATTTACTTAATCCTATGACCACAATTATTTATCTATTTCTTTGAAAACAGTGGCTTAGTAAAACTAATAATTCATGTTTAAAAGATGATAAATGTCATTGAGGGGGTCGTGTCTTTATACTAATATCATGTTTAAATCGCCTCTAAATCGCTTATAGACTTTTTATTTCAGAAGTAAAATTGTAAAGTATGGGGTATTAGGGATTAGTTAAACAGTTAATATAAGTGATAAATTAGAAACATGATTTAATCAAAACTTTTATATTAAATTTGTGGATTTTGTATGCTGTTGACATAATCAAATCCAGTTGATCTTATAAACCTTTTCACACGCTACAGCAAACAATTTTGATAAACGCATGTGTATACCTTTCGATCGCCCTGTTTTCGCGATGCTCTGAAGGCTGTCGACATCAGAACCGTATTGATTATATCATGATGATGTATTATTCTACATGCCACTATTCTATCAGCCATATCTGTAGGAAGGACTGTTTCACTAATACAAGACCAATAGTCGGAACTATTTTTTCAGATTTGAGTATTGCAAACTTTATTCTTACACGTCGAAGAATTCCTCACAAATGGTGGGTCCACAGAGGTTATATTTAAAAGTGTAGATTTCGTAAAAATATAACGGGTTACCTGTTAAGTTAGAAACTCAGATTTGAAACAGATTGCGTCGTTCCAGAGTTCACTGCGCAATAGTAAACGAGATTCATTGGAAACCCTTTTAAATCATGAAAGCAATATAGAGATACCAAGAGAAGCCTGAAGACAATCATCTAAACATTATCTAAACAATTTGCTCGTTTTCAAGAGTATCTTGTCATATTGTGTCAAATTAGTTCAACTCTTGCAAATAGAATTGTAGAATTGACTGATCATTTCTCACATTTGAAATGTATTTTTTTTGTAAGGACACCACGCGGGGCCGATCATCAAATTTCTACAAACATCAAGTTTGAGTCTGTGTAGGTCTAACAGCTATATTTGTTTTTATTCAATCAATATGGTGGAATTATATGTTGAAATAGTTAGGAAAATGAACAGGTGATTGTATTATATTAACTTATACCTGATCTTAATTTAACCATTATTATTAGACAATTTGGCGGTTGTCAGGCAAGCAGATTATCTCTGATACAATATATGATGTTATATTACCGTGATATCATTACTATTGTTTTATTCTGGATTAAAGGTTTATTTCTCAAGCAATATTGAGATAGGCCTAATGTAACCAGTCGATATATTATTGTTAATGTAATGTTCATTTTGATGTGGTGTTGGATAATTAGCTAACAACCACAGAAAAAGAACATTTTCTCTATGATCCGGATACTCGTCGGATAGAATGTCATTTTCTGATGACTCTTGTATCGTTTATCGGTTACTGATCAACAGATCTCGATCTATAGGCTATGACTGTTGTTAAATTGTTCAAACGTTTTGGTATGTAGTTGTCTGTATTTACACTGTTTAATGCAGTAAATGATTAGCCTTTTAAAAGCCTATTACGTCTACTACATGTCAATCAAAAATGCCAACGAGTTCTTTTCATTGCAATCCAATCTTGAAAAAATACCAAGGTTGTTCGAATAGATTCCACATTACAAGAGACAGTGAGCCAATTAATTGAACATTAACATGTTTTTTCTATTTCTAACTCTATTACTATTACATTGTTTCTACGACTTAGTTCACTCAATTTTAGTTACTCAAACATCCTAAAGATATGGTTATAGACCGTCAGATAGAACAGACAACAAACATTTTACAATCTCTATCTTGGAGCTATTAAATATGCATTCTATGTATTCTCTCCGCCAATCCTTTTAAAGAAGATATTTGATTTCAATATTTCATTATTTCATATAATTAAAAATGTTTTTGTTTTAGGTAAACTTAATATACATGACACATTATAAACATTGTCATCGTCATATAACTGGAAAGTTCTTTGCAACATTAGTGTGAAAGGAATAACAGTGTCCCCAGCCATCATAGATTTTGAATTTTGATTTTCATTGCCTGATGTCTATATACCCAGTCGTTATGCAGTACACATACTCAAATGAAACGAAACCTAGTTTTACTTTTCTGCACTCTTTTGGGGCGAATGAGGACGAACAATGCAAATAAGAAGGTACAAATATCATTACTTATCAAATATATTCTTTTTAATAAATAATATTTATAGCACTTGGTTAGTATGGTAATGCATACACTATAACAATACTTGATAAAAAAAAATTAAATATATCTGTGGTCACTTAACAGTTATTTGGAGGAAATTAGTTTTAAACTCTTGGTACTCAATTTTGTATTTTAATTTATATAATATTGTTCACATATATATTGTACCGCAGTCTACAGATAATAAGCAGAAAGAAGTCAATGGTCAAAATTTGTTCACAAAATCAATGTGTAAATAAACAAATTTCCATCCGTTATGTTTCATTGACTTTTGTGTCTACATGTAGGTTGCAGAAGGTCGCACATAGATGTTTTATAAATTTTTTATAATTTTGTGCTTAAATCACTTGAGATACATGACATGTTTATGATTATCTGCTTCTCGAAATCATGGAATGTAGTTTTGATATTATTATCACGTTAGTTCTCCTTGTAGCGCAGATTATACACATTTAGTATAATTATGCTGCGGTATTCTTTTTTTCGGAACAAAGTTTTAAGGCACTGATTTACACAACATCATTTGTAGTTTTCGGTAATTCTAACTTTCTTCTTCCTCTTCCACATCTATCTCATCACCTGATATATCTGATTCGATGCGCGGGTAACCACCTCTTGATTCACTTTCCCTTTCAGACTTTAATTTATCAGGTCCGTCAAGCTCTATATCCTCGTTTGTAGGCGAATCCTGTAATATATCGATACATATGATTACTGCATGGCTTTAGAACACAGATTCCATGTTATCGCTTCTACAGGGAAACATCTTCGCTTCAAATGAGATTCATGCGTCTATAGTTATTGAAACAATCAGATGTTTGTTTTTTCAATCCTTCGATCTTAAATCAATGTGAGAAATCAAAATCTAAAATAGTAATATGGGATTATGAAGATGTCTAGGAAAGTACATTGTCGTTATTTGTCTCACACAGTTCCGTGTCTGTCGAAATATTACCATAAACTGTTTAAAGTTGGTACCAACACGGAGTAGAGTAAGATGGATAACTAATGACAGAGAGGTGCTGCATGATAAAGATCAAACTACATGTAAATGTGATTTACCTGTTTCAGTCTTCTCCATTTTGCTCTTCTATTTTGAAACCAGGTTTTAACCTGAAATTGAAAGTAAAATTTTTAAAAACAAAATTATAATTTTCGCTAATTGAAATTTAGTCTTATCACGTTGGTTAATCATATAGCTAGATGATTTCACACCTTTACAAAGAAGTAATCGATAAACTTCAAATGATCGGATGATCGCATACTTAGCCGAAAGAATCTCCAAAATAGAAATATTGTTTTATGTGACATGAGACAGCACAGTACTGTTGTTACAGATGCCTTTTGAAACAGTGCACCTGATGTATGAAGTATGATCTATTTGGTTCCGGTTTTCCTGAGTGAAATATTAGGCTGTAAAAATATTTATTACCACATACCTGTCGCTCGGTCAATGTTAAAACTTTTGCAAGTTTTTTTCTCTCTGGTGGTGACAGATATTTTTGTGATTCGAATTTTTTCTCCAATTCCAATGTTTGATCGTTAGAAAATCGAACCTGGCCACCTTTTCTTTTATGTAAAGGACGTTGTAAATAAGGGTTCCAAAATAATGGTTTAGGACCTGAAAGTAGAAAATATAAAATAGTGTTCAGCATTATGTCTTACTAATTAACTGGATATTCAATATTCTTATTCTCAATAAACTATTTCAAAACAGTTCAAAACAATGTTTCTTTTAAGATATTTCGATATTTTTTAGGGGTTTAGTATTTATGAACTATATCAAAGTTTTAAGAAACTACATAAAATATTTTAGAAACTTGTATATACTATATAAGTTCTTAGGATATATCAAAGTTTTTACATACAAATTTATATCTGGAAAAAAAGTTTTTAGAAACTATATCATAGATTTTAGAAACTATGTCAAAGTTTTTAGAAACTATGTCAAAGTTTTTAGAAACTATATCAAAGTTTTTGGAAACTATATCAAATATTTGAGAAACTATATCGAACTTTTTGGAAAAATGTCTCAAAGTTTTTAGAAAAATGTATCAAAGACTTTAGAACTTTATCAAATCAAGTTTCAAGAAACTATATCAAAGTTTCAAATAAATATATTAAAGTTTCAAATAACAATATCAAAGTTTCAAGTAACTATATAGAAGTTTCAAGTAACTATATCAAAGTTTCAAATAACAATATCAAAGTTTCAAGTAACTATATCAAAGTTTCAAGTAACTATATCAAAGTTTCAAATAACTATATCAAAGTTTCAAATAACAATATCAAAGTTTCAAGTAACTATATCAAAGTTTCAAATAAATATATTAAAGTTTCAAATAACAATATCAAAGTTTCAAGTAACTATATAGAAGTTTCAAGTAACTATATCAAAGTTTCAAATAACAATATCAAAGTTTCAAGTAACTATATCAAAGTTTCAAGTAACTATATCAAAGTTTCAAATAACTATATCAAAGTTTCAAGTAACTATATCAAAGTTTCAAATAACAATATCAAAGTTTCAAGTAACTATATCAAAGTTTCAAATAACTATATCAAAGTTTCAAATAACTATATCAAAGTTTCAAGTAACTATATCAAAGTTTCAAATAACAATATCAAAGTTTCAAGTAACTAAACTATATCAAAGTTTCAAGTAACTATATCAAAGTTTCAAGTAACTATATCAAAGTTTCAAGTAACTATATCAAAGTTTCAAATAACTATATCAAAGTTTCAAGTAACAATATCAAAGTTTCAAGTAACTATATCAAAGTTTCAAGTAACAATATCAAAGTTTCAAGTAACTATATCAAAGTTTCAAATAGATATATCAAAGTTTCAAATAATAATATCAAAGTTTCAAGTAACTATATCAAAGTTTCAAATAACTATATCAAAGTTTCAAGTAACTATATCAAAGTTTCAAGTAACTATATCAAAGTTTCAAGTAATTATATAGAAGTTTCAAGTAACTATATAGAAGTTTCAAGTAACTATATCAAAGTTTCAAGTAACTATATAGAAGTTTCAAGTAACAATATCGAAGTTTCAAATAACTATATCAAAGTTTCAAGTAACTATATCAAAGTTTCAAGTAACTATATAGAAGTTTCAAGTAACTATATAGAAGTTTCAAGTAACTATATCAAAGTTTCAATTAACAATATCAAAGTTTCAAGTAACTATATCAAATTTTCAAATAAATATATCAAAGTTTCAAGTAACTATATAGAAGTTTCGAGTAACTATATCAAAGTTTCAAATAACAATATCAAAGTTTCAAGTAACTATATCAAAGTTTCAAATAACTTTATCAAAGTTTCAAGTAACTATATCAAAGTTTCAAGTAACTATATCAAAGTTTCAAGTAACTATATCAAAGTTTCAAGTAACTATATCAAAGTTTCAAGTAACTATATCAAAGTTTCAAGTAACTATATCAAAGTTTCAAGTAACTATATAGAAGTTTCAAGTAACTATATAGAAGTTTCAAGTAACTATATCAAAGTTTCAAGTAACTATATCAAAGTTTCAAGTAACAATATCGAAGTTTCAAATAACTATATCAAAGTTTCAAGTAACTATATCAAAGTTTCAAGTAACTATATCAAAGTTTCAAGTAACTATATAGAAGTTTCAAGTAACTATATCAAAGTTTCAAGTAACTATATCAAAGTTTCAAGTAACAATATCGAAGTTTCAAATAACTATATCAAAGTTTCAAGTAACTATATCAAAGTTTCAAGTAACTATATAGAAGTTTCAAGTAACTATATCAAAGTTTCAAGTAACTATATAGAAGTTTCAAGTAACTATATAGAAGTTTCAAGTAACTATATAGAAGTTTCAAGTAACTATATAGAAGTTTCAAGTAACTATATAGAAGTTTCAAGTAACTATATCAAAGTTTCAAGTAACTATATAGAAGTTTCAAATAACTATATCGAAGTTTCAAGTTAGTATATCGAAGCTTCAAGTAACTATATCAAAGTTTCAAGTAACTATATCAAAGTTTCAAGTAACTATATCAAAGTTTCAGGTAACTATATCAAAGTTTCAAGTAACTATATAGAAGTTTCAAGTAACTATATCGAAGTTTCAAGTAACTATATAGAAGTTTCATGTAACAATATCAAAGTTTCAAGTAACTATATCAAAGTTTCAAGTAACTATATCAAAGTTTCATGTAACAATATCAAAGTTTCATGTAACAATATCAAAGTTTCAAGTAACTATATCAAAGTTTCATGTAACAATATCAAAGTTTCAAGTAACTATATAGAGGTTTCAAGTAACTATATCGAAGTTTCAAATAACAATATCGAAGTTTCAAGTAACTATATCGAAGTTTCATGTAACAATATCAAAGTTTCAAGTAACTATATCGAAGTTTCAAGTAACTATATAGAAGTTTCATGTAACAATATCAAAGTTTCAAGTAACTATATCAAAGTTTCAAGTAACTATATCAAAGTTTCATGTAACAATATCAAAGTTTCATGTAACAATATCAAAGTTTCAAGTAACTATATCAAAGTTTCATGTAACAATATCAAAGTTTCAAGTAACTATATTAAAGTTTCAAATAACAATATCAAAGTTTCAAATAACTATATCAAAGTTTCAAGTAACTATATAGAAGTTTCATGTAACAATATCGAAGTTTCAAGTTAGTATATCGAAGCTTCAAGTAACTATATCAAAGTTTCAAGTAACTATATCAAAGTTTCAAGTAACTATATCAAAGTTTCAAGTAACTATATAGAAGTTTCAAGTAACTATATAGAAGTTTCAAGTAACTATATCAAAGTTTCAAGTAACTATATCGAAGTTTCAAGTAACTATATCAAAGTTTCAAGTAACTATATAGAAGTTTCAAGTAACTATATCAAAGTTTCAAGTAACAATATCAAAGTTTCAAGTAACTATATCGAAGTTTCAAGTAACTATATAGAAGTTTCAAGTAACTATATCAAAGTTTCAAGTAACTATATAGAAGTTTCAAGTAACTATATAGAAGTTTCAAGTAACTATATCAAAGTTTCAAGTAACTATATCGAAGTTTCAAGTAACTATATCAAAGTTTCAAGTAACTATATCTAAGTTTCAAGTAACTATATCAATTTTTTTAAAAACCACATCAAAGTCTTTAGAAACGGTATCAAAATTTTTAGAAATTGTATCAAAGTTTTTACAAATTGTATCAAAGTTTTTAGAAATTGTATCAAAGTTTTTAGAAATTATATCCTTTAGAACTTTTTTAGAACAAATTTTTCGAAACTATATCTAATGTTTTAGAACCTAAATCAAAGTTTTAAGAAACGGCATCGATTGTTTTAAGAAACTTTATCAAAGGTTTCAAAAACTGTAGCGAGGTTTTAGAGAAAAAATAGTACAGTAAATCTATATTTATATTAAAGGTTTAAGAAACTATATCAAAGTTTTAAGTAACTTTATCAAATTCTTTAAAAGTCTTAAGAAACTAAGCCAAAGTTTTTATAAACCATATCAAAGTCTTTCGAAACTATATCAAAGATTTTAGAAATAATATTACTACAGTAAACTTTTTAGAAACTACATCAAAGTTTTTAGAAATGATATTAGTACATCAAAGTCTTCAGACATTACATTAGTATATATAGTTTTTGGAAATTTTTAGAGAAAATAACAAAGTCTTTGGGAACTAGTTCAAAGTTTTTAGAAACTACATTATTATATTAAAGTTTTTAGAAAAATATTGATATATTTAAGTTTTAGAAAAAAAAATTAATAAAGTTTTTAGAAACTATATAAAATTCTCTATAAACTATATCAAAATGTTTAGAAATTATATTAGTATATTAAAATATATAGAAAGGACGTGGATGTTCAGGAAGTTACACTGTTTTCTATAAATTAAAAGATAACTACTGCATTGTAATTAGGTTAACATTAACAAAAGAACATTAAAAATTTATATATTTAAAAAGGTTGAAAATACGACCAAAGCCTGTAAAAGCTGAGAAACAATATATTGTACAATTTCTTCGTGAGAAAAAGTTATATCAGCCGAGAAACATCTTATATCAATTCATATATTTACTCTGATTAGAAACCATTGGCAAGATATTTTATAACAAACAAATATCAGGAAATTCATAAACTTCTTTGAGGAACATTTTAAGATATTAAAGATTTCATAGAAATTTTGTTGGCTGTTTTGTCTTGTATACTAGCAAAAATATAATCATCAAAACAAGTTACGTTTGCCAATTGTTAGGAGGGGGATTGATAAGTGTGAGCCTTATATATATATATATATATATAGACATATTATATGCCCAATAAAACAGTCATCACCACATAGGGATTCATCCTTTCCACTCTCCCTTCCGAGAAAGGCTCATAACCCCCTTTCAGTCAATAGTTTATATTAATTATCTCATATATATATGGTTATGAGATGAGAAAAATGCTCCAGCACACACATCATTGATAGTAATGGCCAAATTCCACGAGTATGGGCTCTCTTCCCAACATCCACCTTATTCACCTGATTTGGTGGATATTAGAAAAGTACACAGGTACACTCATGGGTTTTTAACTTATAACAATTATAACATCTGTTAGTAACAATATAGAATAGTTCAAAGTTTCTAAGAGTTTAACCATAAACTTTGTTTAGAATTCCACTGTTACTATGATCAAAATTCAGATCTGTTGAGCCATTCTGGTCATTAAGAAATCATCTGTCACAGTGTTAGCGCCAATCTACTGATAGATATAAGCTATAAGTATATATTCATGAAGATCTATGACTGATGGTCTAATAGTGTCGTGAAATATAAAAGTCGTCAGATTAAACTCTTTATTGACTATGATGATAAGAATATTGATATCTATGACCACTATAAACAATACAAGATGCTAACAAATATCTTTATATGTTATATTGAATATAAATTTAATCCCTCATATATTAAAATTGCACTATGTATATTAAATTAGTGATTTACCTATTATATTCAAACAAGACCTTCTCTGGTCGGATTTATGCGGTATAAATAGTTTGCTGGACCGTTTTATAAAGTCGATTGCTAGTAACTATTATTCTCTGTTAAGGTGCAAGTGATATGATGCGTAAGTATGAGTTTACTATTAAGATTAAACCAATACATAGCCGTTTAATTCAACGACGAATGTAACATTTCATGATGTTGACAGAATAAGCATCAAATCTTGAAGTGGATGTAAAGATATATAACAACTTGTTTTTTGGGGTCTGCCAGTGAAAGTATAGTAAAATGATACTATACTAAATGGTACTAATTTTCAGCATTCCTATCACAAGTATAAAGCGGTCTAATAACAAAAAAGGCTTGACGACAATATAATGAAGTGTAAAACAGTTATGAGAGTATAAAACGTAGGTGAGAGGCGGAACTTGTAAAATTTATCCTAAAATTATTAATGAATTTTCCTCTCAAGGGAATTTTGCCAATTCACTTTGTGTACTTTGAATAATAATCAGCAGACTTGTCATGATGGAAAAAGTCTTCAAAAATCAGACTAATGTAATGAGTTACTTGGAAATCACTGTTAATACTTACATGTTTTGCGGGTGATTACTACATCTATTAAGGTTTTTAACAAAAATAGAATGCCAACTGTAGCACAATTTTGACTTTATTTGAAAACTTTATTGGTTTATTGGTAGATTAGTTATTTCTTATTGCTGGTCATATTACATACAATTTGATATAAAACTTGTTCCGAGTGAGTTTCTGAATGTCCTGAAATCACTTGTAAATGTTTGAACCTCGATTTTTGTGTCAAATGATTGCAAATCATTTTAGATTGATGTTAACAATTAGATTTTGGTCTGTTTTACAAATGGAAATGGCAAATCCTTTCATTACATACTCAAATTTGATGACATGCAAAATCAAATTCAGTTCATTTCGGTCTCGTGCACTTTTA